GGACAACTTGTATAATTGCTGTCGTTACGTTTCTAAATGTACATAGAGGATTGTAAGTGGATTGTAAATGGAAATGAACGTACAAACGAAAGTTGGCGACAGACAAAGTCAATTAAATACCCCTTGGGATACCCTTCTCACGTATCGTTAAAGATATTGTATCGTTTACATTTCCTCGATAATATTGTAATTCCATCAGCCAGAGAGTATTCCGACTCTTCAGCTTATTTCGTTAATTGTCTTCCTGTTTAAGCGATTGATGGAGATAAGTAGTGGTAATTCTCATCCTTGGACGATAATCAGCGTGAACAGTCATATCGAATATTAGTCAGAAGTGTTGGCGACATACGTTGATGACGTACGGAACACGAACGGAGAGAAAGAGGAGAGTGAGAGGTTGAAATTAGAAAGGAAAATTTTTCTTGTAAAAGAGAGAAAATTCAGAGGACCTGGCTTTCGCTTAGATATCCGTCCTCCTTTTTCCATCGGGCACGTTCGATGTATCCACGAGCACGAGGGCGAACAGGTATTTAGGACGTACGCCGTTAGCTCCAGAAAATGCATTAACTCGTTGACGCACGCGCAACATACGTTCGTGTACTGTAAATGCGTTAAATTGGGTCATTTCAGAGCAACAGCTCGTGCTCGATGATGTGCCACGATTCTTCGTATGCGTGTGTGCGTGCCTGATAGGTCCTGTATTCTTTATTAGGGCCTCGTGTTATTTTAGCGTTAATCCTTGAATTACCGACGATTTATCCTCTTGAAGAGCATGATAAGAGCTCTGTAGATTTCTACGTTCATTGACAGCTATTTAAAGCGATTGTAAAAAGATTAAAAAGAAGGATTAAAAAAAATTTTTTTACAGTTTTTTAAGTGTCAGCAATTTAAATCTTCTAAAAAATTTTTAATCGATTGGTCGAAGATATTTCAAGAAAGATCGTTTATGGCAGTATTTTCCACATTCAGTACACACACACACACACACACACACACACACACACACACACACACACACACACACATATTTCTAATAAATCTTAAAATTTCACCAAAGTAGAGCTTAAAATTAATTTAAATCTAGAAGAAATGATTTTATTGGTTTTTTTGCAGCTTGTTATAATCTCTAGAAAGACCTTTTTATCTCATCGTTCGCAACTCCAGAGCCACATTAAGTGCGTCAAGGCGCATTAAATTAATATACAATTCAACATTACTGATGCTAATAAGTGTCTCGTAGACTAGTAAAACAGTAAATTAATGTACTCACTAGATCTGCGAGATGAATGACTCATAGTATTAAGCTGATTATACAAGGTGGCCATTGGGAAATTGCTGAAACTGAATGGCTGCTGTTATTTTGTAACGACTGGGGACAAAATAAGATGAGAGTTAAACACTACTCTTTAAAAGAATTATTGTCAATCCTTTTTTATATTTATTTTTTTAAACTTATATATATTTCTTTTTTACTAATAAGTGCTTATGTGCTAATAAAAACGGATTTCTTCTGTACAGTGTTAAATTCATCGCCCTGACAATGAGAAAAATGTTTTGGTTATATCAACAAGAAGTACAATACAAACAAAATGCATTGTGATTATCTACTAATCAGAATTATCTGATTATCATAATTAAATTTCTGGTTCTATCTTGAGTAGAATATTTGATAGATTTAACTATAAATATCCGATTTGTATTTTTCTTAAAACTATTGAATTTCTAATTTATGTAACCAGATTTTGTTTCCCATGCTTATATCGTCACAAAATACACAGCTACTTAGTTTCAGTAACTTTCCGATGGTCATCTCGTAGATATAAAATCGAGTAGCCACGTCAGTCGCTTATCATTTGCTGTCGCCGCTCGAATAGTTTTGATCAATCTGGCGGAACAAGCCGGTGAAACCGAACACGAGACAGCCTTCTTATTAGTCCTTTCACCTGGTGACCTGATTTTTCGTGGCACACGCTCCATCGTCAAGTGGTAATACAATAAGACGTGCAACGTTGGCACGCCTATATCAAGGTGGTACCTAGTACTAAAAATATCTGATATCCGTTCAACAGGTGTTCGAGATAAGAGTGTCAACGTGCTCACGAAGTAATCCGCGACGGATACTCGCAATGGAATGACTTTAGAGCCAAGCCGCTGCATTCTCGCGAACGTTAAACGATGGGTCACGCAATGGCGTTGATCGTCTTATCCGAATCACGAAAGCACTTGTAAATTATTCTCAAGTATATTTCCGGTGCTGTTCTCAATGAAACAGCAGCATTAATTCTTTATTTGATTTGATCAAATAGTTGTACTGAGAGTCGCATTGGCATTGTCAATTTTTTTGATTGACTTGTTAATAGGTAAATTCAATTTGAGATTAATTAATGCAATACTGAAGCATGAATGTATATGCGATAGATTATCTTAGGCTCGTATCGGCCTTGAATTGAAATTATAGTTATGCATTCTCGGAAAAAAATCGCTAATTATAATTACCTTATTTTGAGCCAACACAGAATATAACTGTGTACAAATTTGAACGTATACAAGTGATACATGTATACGTTTCGACCACTAGTTTGGGTCTTCTTCAGAATCATATAATAATTAAACGGATTGTTAAAAACGCAAAATTAATGATAATAAAATAACGAACGTTGGATTGAATGGTAGTAATGTTATATGCGCATATCTTTCATATATTTGTCATATATTTACATTATTGCATTAAATTACCGAATTTACTAAACATTGAATATTGTATTATTGCTTATAATTAGAGAGAAATTATTTGTCAAAACTTACATGAAAATATTATATATTGGAGAACATATATTGGAGACGTTGACCTAAATATTTTCAGATGTGTATCTATCTAAATTTCTATAGATACATCAACGAAACCGTTGTGTAATATCCAAAAATTCTTGCAACTGACCTCTCTTTTTTTCTCGATCTGTCAGCCCTTCAAGTTATCAATCGACTAATACTTTGTTAAAGTCCTTAGAAATCTAGTTTCTTCCGTGGATAGATCTTCACACGCGATGGATATATAGATTAGTACGAGTCTCTGTTACTTTATGTTATCACGAGATCACGAGACATTGGACTATTAGATTGGATTATACCTCGTATATCAAGTTTGCACACGCATACTTCATTTATGGTGTATGACTCCAAGATTTGCACAAAAACCGTATCCCGAGCTAATTACAATTAGTCTTTACGCTCTCAAACCGGCGTGGGCGGCACGCGTCGATTCGGAAAAGCAATGAGCGGAAATATACGAGTATATTGAAGAAAAAGATTTGTTTTTCTCTCATTTCTTCTTCTATAATTTTCTGTTTCAATGAATATGTAAAATCGTGGAGAGTCCGCGACGGTGGCATCGGCAGATGTACGCCTCGTTTCTCGCGACGCTCCACACAAAGGAGTGTCTATGTCTCTACTCTAGTTAATCCGCCTCGTGAAACTCGATATCTATCACGCATGACAACAACTTGTGTGTAGGGAGCTTATAAGTATTCCAAGTGCCGTTCGCGAGCTATTATGTCATCCTCTTATATCAAGCACGTTCCTGTACAATACTCGCGATTGGATGGACTTGGTGCGACGAGCTCGATCTAATAATTGTTCATAGCTTATGTGCCTTTAGTTTGCATGTTATATTAAGGGCCCCGTTCTTTCAAGTCCTTAACAAATTTTAATTATTATCGAACGATTATTCGTTGTGAACAATTTTTTCCTTTTCTACAAATACTGCTCATTAACCACACAAAATGGTAACAAAATTGTCGTAAACTTAACAATATCTCTCTAGCTGCTGTTGGATTTATGACAGTTTTGTCGCTATTTTATTATGAAATAAGAAACATTCTTTACTACCGACAATCGTTTAATGACATTATTAAGAATCATGGAATAGAGCCCTATAAGGTAATTAATTTCTATATATTCAATGTAGATTAACTAATCTCGATTTAATTTAGGTACCTTTTTATCTTTCTCTAGTTTTCAGAATTTTTTTTCTTTTCTAAGAATTAGAAAATGATAACAGCCAGATTAGCCAGATAATAAATAAACATTTTAAATAATGCAACTAACAATATAATGCCATCATATGATAAATGCCGTCGAAGTGCAATTAAACTAAGGAAACGTAAAATTAATTGCATTAATTTAGGATCGAGTCACATAAATTGCTCAAAGTCGCATAATTTCGTTCGTAAAACACGAGATGATCTCAAGTGGAGCTCGGGAATCCCGCAGTTTGTAACAGATGATCGTAAACTTCCTACTAAACATAAAAGCTTATGAATTAGTATTATTATAAACGGGCAACCTTCGTGATTTTTATTTTTCTACGATTTCTTTAAACAGGTTAAACAGGATTTTCGTTCGACTTGTATTCGTATTTTACATTTGTTACGTAGCAAGTATATAGCTCCTTGTTATTTTTGAAATTATATAAACATATTAAACATATTAAAATATTACAATAA